CCCCCACCCACCTGCATCACATGACATCATATTTGCACTCGATGGCTGATTTTCAGATCCTTTTGAATAGAACTCTACTCAGTCTTCTACAGCATGTTGCACCATATTTGTCTGATCACTGCTAAATGGAAATGTCTGCAGCATCAACCTGGAATCTGATATGAGACTAGAAGCTCCCTTTGCTTTAATTGGAAACACCTGAACACCGTGCTGTGGTGTCATCTGGTCCAGAGGTCCACTATGACCAATCCACTAAGAAGTTTTCAGGTGGAAATTGTTTTGAGAGTTTATTTGTTTTTAGATGGATCCAAAGTTCTGAAGGATCATGTTTAAAAAGCTGCGGAGCGCTACGGAAGGCTATCAACACGACAACAAGGGAAAATAACGGACAGAGGAAGAGATGCGCGAGATGCAGAGCAGGGCTAACTGAGAAGATAAAGAGAAATCCTCACAGACCTTCGCTTCCATCAATCCTGCTCTCCAACCTTCGCTCGTTGGAAAAATGGATAATCTCAGACTGGAACTCTCATCAAGGAAGGAGATCAGTAACTGCTGCTCCATCATTCTGGCTGCATCCAGCAATACCGACGATGCTATTAGCCTGGAGGGGCTAACGCTATACTGTGCCGATAGAACAGAGAGCTCTGAGTGAATGGAAACTCCTCTGAGACTGTTGCCAGGCAATCTTCAGCATCTAGAGGGGAAGCTCTGCCCTCTACAGGTGAAAATGAGGAAAGCACTCTAAATGCTTCCCACCAAATACTGAAACATCGCCAGCCGGCTCCTCCCGGCCCCCTCTGGCTCCCATGCCTTCTCCAGCTTCGTCTGTCGCTGCTAAACCTGCCGATGGCTCCACTGCTGCTTCAACCACGTCAGCCTGTTCAACCCAGGGGGGCTACCACCCTCACAGCATCGTCATCATCCTCCTCTTCCTCCCCTGAGCCAGGAGAAGCGAGTGCTTCAGGGGCTGGAGGCAGTAGTAGCAGCTCAACAACAACTGTTGGGTGAAGCCCAGGAAACAGGCCCCTAATGCTCCAGCATCAGATCCTCTTCCTGCAGGGCAAACATCCCATCTGGATGCTAAGATCCTATTCAGATCCGTCTCACATCACTGCTGCCAAGCAAACATGAATGAAGCTCATTCCATGACTAGATATAGTGACTAAATATCACAATGTTTTTTTTTTTTTAATCACTGCTGCTTCTAAACTAAATGTCTTTTTGTTTCCTCTTGTGCATAAAAAATGACAAAATAAAGCTGTTTAAGTCTATGTTTACATTCTGAAAGTAAAGCAACGCTGGTTATGGGCCCGTTAACGCTGAGTTCGCAGGAGGATGTTCCCTCAAAGCTCAGAGATGATTTGATTTTGTGACGCCATCCTACCAGCCTGCTCTGTCTTACAGGGAGCTGCTGACATCCAGGAAAAAGTCGTTGGAGCTGCAGTGCAGGGGGTCCATCATGGCCGCTCACAGGATCAGGACCGCCACCAACACCACCTCCCTGCCTCGCTGCAAATCAGAGGGCACCCTGATCGATCTCAGTGAGGGGGTCTCAGAGGCCAGTCTGACTGATGTCAAAGGTTAGCATTCACCACCTAGAAGCTGCTGCTTCATGGTGGACACTAAACCAGAGAGCAGAACAGGTCATAGCATCAAACACGTGAAATCAAACAGTTCTGGTCTGAAAAGGTGATCTAGGTGATTAGTAATTCCTGGTAATATATGTCATAGGGCGGGTCAATTCTCTCAGGGC